TTTATTTCAATTGTTTCAAACAATTCATCTTCTAATTAATTGGTTGGTTAAATCCTAATTTCTTAGTGACTTTAATCATTTAACCCAATTAGAATTCTAATGCCTTAGTAATTTCTTTTTAGATTAAGCCTTAAGCGCGATGAATTATAAAAGTTTATAATTCCTACAAACCTATGTCTGGATCATGGAAGAATTGATGTTTACCCCTATCACGATTAAAATCTCAATATGTCTATTGTGAATCCTAACCCTCAAATCCCTATATGAGTGATCAAGTCATATAAGAATGCATAAAATTATTCCAAGGTAAAACAAATAGTTTGAGACAATTTATTAAAAAATAATTTAATACAAACAAGGATTCACGTTGGATCCATAACCCTAACTACAAAAGAAACTTAGCCAGACATAGCTGGCTCAAACAAAACAAAAAAACAAAAAGAAGTGGAAGAAATCATGAAGAAGAAGAAGAAATCAATGTTGCCCAATTCTTTAAGTCTTCCCTCTCTCTGAAATTCTCTAATCTTCAGTAAAAGCTCATCTCTTTCTGAATGTGCCAGCCTTCTGTTTCCAAGAGTTGTCTTTTTATAGTGATGAAATCCTATCTTTTAATTTACCATAAGATCTTCAATGGTATCTTCAATAGAATCTCCAATCATATCTTTAATCAAATCCTTAAAATCCTCCATTTTATATTTAAAGGAAAACTTTATTTAAAAATATTCAAGAGAATCTTCGATAAGATCTTCACTCAATTATATGATTTAGAAATCCAAAACAAATCCACTTGAGCTCTCTAATTTATCTTTTTATTGAGCTGAAAATTATTGCAAAATAGAAGAATTTTTATGAGAATATTACTAAATATAAAATAGCATTTTAATTATAATTCTCATAACTTTTAATTATTTTTAAATCAATTTCATATTCATATTAACTCTTAATACATAATAAATTGGACTCATCAGCTGCCATTACCGATGCCGAGGTCTTCCTCCTAGGTGAGGATAATTTTCTGAATGTTGTCTATAATGATTGCCCCTAGATTGTTGACTCACGTGCCTCTTTCTATGTCACTCCACACAAAGGCTTCTTCTCTTCCTATAGAAGTAGTGACTTTGGTGTTGTAAAGATGGGGAACGAAGTCACCAACAAGATTGTTGGAGTTGGTGATATAACCATGACCGCAAACGTCGGATGCAGACTCATGTTAAAGGAAGTAAGGCATGTGCCAAATATGTGTTTGAACATAATCTCGGTAGGAAAGCTTGAAGATGTTGTGTTAGTAAACTATTTTGGCGGTGGAAGATGAAAATTGGTCAAGGGAAACTTGGTGGTTACCCGAGGAAAGAAGGAAGACTCCTTGTATATAATGCAAGGAAAAATAAATGATGAAAAAGCCAACTCTGTTCGAGATGGACCTAGCATAGAGTTGTGGCACATGCGCCTCTACCACATGAGTGAAAAAAGGATTCAAATTTTGAACACAAAAGGTCATGTGACTGGGTTGAAAGGGCAAGTGCTAGAGAGTTGCACGTACTATCGCGCTGGAAAGCTACATTGGGTTTCTTTCGTGAGACCAGACCAACCTAGATGACAAAGGTATATTCTTGACCTTGTCCACATCGACGTACGCTTTATGTCGAAGAGATCACTCGATGGTGCTCAATATTTTGTTTTCTTTATTGATGACCACTCTAGAAAAGTGTGGGTATACTTGTTGAAATTCAAAGACTAGGTTCTCCAAGCCTTCAAAGAATTCCATGCTATGTTGGACAAGTAAACTGACAAGAATTTGAAGGTGGTCCATTCTGATAATGAAGGTGATTGCCACCCCTTTGATGCTTACTGCAGAGAGACCAGGATAAAACTAGAAAAGACGCCCCCAAGACTCCTCAGTTAAATGGTGTTGCTGAGAAGATGAACTAGACTATTGAAGGAAGGGTCCGAAATATGCTATCCTATGCCAAATTAACAAAATCATTCTAGGGTTAAGTTGTCCGAACTGCTATTGATTTGATTAATCTATCACCATCATGATTCACGACCACTAGAAGGAGAAATTCCTGAAGAAGTATAAACAGGTCGAAAAGTGACCTATGATCATTTGAAAGTGTTTGAATGTCGAGCCTTCGTGCATACTCCAAAAGATGAAAGGAAAAAGCTTGATGCTAAGACAAAAGAGTGTATATACCTCGATTCGCCTAGATATGAGGTTGGATATAGACTTTAGGATCCCGTAAACTAGAAAATCATGAGAAACCGAGATGTGATCTTCCATGAAGACAAGACTATCAAATACATCTCGAAGCCCAAAGTCCGGGTTGCTATTCGAAGTGAAGAACATGTCTCTCCTATCCAAGCTGATGCATGGGGAGAAAACAATCAAGAAAATGATGAAGAGGACCAACAACAGGAAGAATCACTTGCTGAAGGTGATGAAGAAAGGAAAGTTGAAGGAGGTCGTCCAGAGGTTCAAGATGACAATGAAGAGCCAGATACTCAACCTGAGATACAACCCAGACACTCTACACGAGTGAGACGACCTTTCACAAGATACCCACTTGAAGAATACTTTGTTGTTGCTGAAGATAGAGAATCCTAGAGCTATGATGAAGCCATGACGAGCTTCGAGAAAAAAGAAAGGAAGAAAGCAATGCAGGACATGATGAATTCCTTGCACGAAAATCAAACTTATGAGTTTATCGAGCTACCAAAAGGAAGACGAGCTCTAAAAAATAAGTGGGTTTATAAAATTAATGAGGAGAATGGCCAAAGGACGAGATACAAGGCCAGAATTGCGGTTAAAGGTTGTAACCAAAAGAAGGGAGTAGATATTGAAGAAATATTCTCTCTTGTTGTGAAAATGACTTTAGTCCGAACTGTTTAAGTCATAGCAATCTCAATGGACTTAGAAGTTAAGCATATGGAAGTGAAGACCGTATCCCTTCACGATTATCTTAAAGAAGAGATATATATTATGGAGCAACTAGAAGGGTTCTGAGCTCCAGGAAAAGAAGATTTGGTATGTCGTTTGAAGAAGAGCCTATACGGCTTGAAGCAAGCACCTTGTCAGTGGTATAAGAAGTTTGAATCCTTTATGACTGAGCAGAAGTTCATGAAGACAAAAGCCAACCATTGCGTATTCGTTAAGAGGTATAAGGCCAGAGATTTTCTTATTCTACTTTTATATGTTGACAACATGCTTATTGTAGGGAAAGATAAAATGAGGATAGCCGCCTTGAAGAAGATGTTGAGACCATCCTTCATAATGAAAGACCTCGGCCATGCAAAGCAAATTCTTAGTATAAAGATAATAAAAGACCGTCAAAGAAAGTTCATGTGGCAAAATGGACAAAGTCAAGACAGTAAGCACCCCATAGTCGAACACATAAAACTGAGCCAAAAGTAATGTCCGAGGTCTTATGAAGAGAAAGACGAGATGCTGAAGATCATGTACTAATCCACCATTGGAAGCTTGATGTATGCAATAATGTGTACAAGACCCGACCTAGCATATGTAGTTAGAATGGTTGAGCCGGTATCTTTCGAACCTTGGCAAGGAGCACTGGGAAGTCGTCAAATGGATCTTCAAGTATATTAGAGGAACAACAAATTCATGCCTCCGTTTTGGAGATGATAAAGCCCTGCTTTAAGGCTTTACGAATGCTAATTTAAGGGGAGATGCCGACTCGAGGAAGTCAATGAAAGGTTGTTTGATGGCCTTTGCAGGAGAAGCTGTCTCCTAGCAATCAAAATTACAAAAATGTGTTGCTCTTTTAATGACCGAGGTCGAGTACATAGCCGGAATTGAAGCTTGCAAGAAGATGATGTGGACGAAGAAGTTCCTCCTTGAGCTTGCCATGAGCAAAACAAGTACGAGCTGAAGTATGACAATAAAAGTGCAATTCACTTGGTGAAGAACTCGACTTATCACTCTCGCACAAAACACGTTGATGCAAGATATCACTGGATTCGGGATGTGCTAGAGGACAAACTATTCGAACTCATCAAAATGCACACCGACCTGAATTGGTTCAACATGATGACAAAGCTGGTACCAGCAAGGAAGTTTGAAAATTGCTATCAAGGTTTCAAGCTTCTAAACCCGACACATTAAAGTTGGAAGGAGGAGATTTTTTGGGATGTGTTCTTTTCTTTAATGTTTGGTGGCTAAGCATACATCACATTTATGGGTGCATGGTTCAACGTCTGAACAACCACCTCAATGAATATTACTCACCTCAATCAATAATGAAGATTCTAGAATAAGGTGTAGGATTTATCCTCACCTTTATAATAATAAGAAACCTTTTGTAATAGGTTAGCCTAGCCAAGATAGTTTTGTGAGTAAAATCCTCTGAAGAAAAGTTTGAGTGTAAGACCTCTTTAGAGAAAAACTTTGTAACCACCATGACTGGTGAAGTTTGAGTGTGCCTTTAGTGTGACTAAGGAAGTTTGAATATTTGTAATCCTACCATTCATAATGAAAAAAAAAATTTGGACTAGGTCTTATAATTTTTACTTCTCTTACATTAGAAAAGGTTTTCTAGGTTAAAAATTTGATGTGTGTTTCTCTCCATATTTCATTGCTGCATTTTTCTATTTTCTACATTTTGGCAGACCTTATGACTTCTGGCCAACCTCCAAGTGCCGAGCTGTGAGCTCAGACTACCAACTTGCGTATCCCTTCTACGCTGATTGAGGGACCCCGTCCCAGTAATTTTGAATCAAATCAATAATTAATATAACCTTGGTTATTTTAAAAATAATTTTTTTTTACAATAACGTTATTCATAAATTAATCACGTTATCTTTGTATCAATTAAGGTCATATAGCCACATGAGAACATGTAATGATCCATCACCATCGAGACATTAAAGCGAGGTGACAATAGCATCTTTACCATAAAGCAAATCTATAAAAGGTCGAGTCACGAAGATGTTAAGAGGCATGAACATAATTACTGTGATATTATAGAACTTCATACATTATCCGAAATATACATTAGGCCTCTTTAAATAATTATCCTACTCCTACCCGCCACAATAAAGAGACAAAATAACCAAAAATAAAATAAAATGAAAGATCAGATTAAGGGAAAGCTGTTAAGCATTCTAATTTATAGGAATAGAAAACATTCTAAACTTAAACTCTATCATTGTGCTCTTTTGTCTTCAGAGCTGGGATTTGTTGCTTGCACCGGATTTCTAATCTCTTTAGCTAAAATGTTTCCCTGATGTGCCCCTACAACCAGTTGTTTTAGCAATCAATAGCAAACTAAAAAGTTCACAAGAAACGAAACTTTTACGCCAAAGAAGAAAAGCCTTTTTAATGAATCATGTCACACACAACCAAGGTCATGAAATTATTTCAAGTTGTGAAATGCAAAAGACCTATAAGAAATTTTAAGGTCAACAATGGGAAGGGATCAGTATGTCATGTTTTTGATATATTTTTGTAAACTCAATCTCAAACAGGCATGATATGATGAAATGATAGTTGAAGGTAGGAAAATCAAACCGAGTACAATGTTTAAGGATTACCTGTTGGAGTAGTTACTCGATCACCTGGTCGAATGGCATGTCTAGAACTGGTGGTCATAGACAATCTCCCATGAAGATCTTGTGGGGGTGCCACGTTACTAGCTATAACTGTTTCATTTTCTCCAATTAGAAAGTTACTATCATGAAATAGCTTTACAGCAGATTTGGGTGAGAATGTTGTGGACCAAGATCCACCATTTGACCCAGCTAAAGCCATAATAACATCTGCCTGCATACATCATAGCATGCACAAGTTATGATACATCATGAAACCACACTTCCTATTTGAACATACATGAAATTTTAGATCGAGGAAGATCCAAAAACCACTCCCATTAAATCTCGACTAGCGAAGGTAGGGATAAGGGAAATCCTTGAACGCAAACTTACCTTTACATATTTGCAAAAAAGTTGTTTCCCGGATTTGAATTCATGACCTTTCAGTCAGATAGAAACAGCTTTTACCACTGCTCCAAACTTGCCCTCTTTAGGAAGATCCAAATTAGTATTAAAATAAAAAAGAAAGAAAAATCCTTATGTTCCCGATGTATTGATGGCTAAGCCAACCTATATGCACTCACAAAGTTACAAGAACATCACAGCTTGCTCATTACATCTTTTTAAAACCTAGCCATTATGCATACTGGTAAACTCAAACTGAAATTAAATGTATTGGTGTAAATGACCATCTAACGGTACTAAGTAAAATATGTCAGATAGATCCTTCCAAACAATGATTTGTATTCATTTTTTGAGCATGGTACAATAGATGAAAGAGTGCAGGAAAACAAAATTTTCATTAATCAGTATATTCAGTATATATACACTCTCCGTGTGGTTTACAAATTTTGCTACAGATATACAGAAGAGTAATAACAGTACAGCACCATTTAATTTTTATTTTATTTTATTTTTGGTAATTAAGCACAATTTAGAATGTACAATCTAACAGATCCTCACGTTTTTGAATTAAATTTAAACTAAGTGATCAGGTTTCTGATTATATATACTAGCTCAAAAACAAGAATATCAATTCAAGAAACATTTGCACTTGGGAAATGATTGATAACTAAAACTTCAGAATTACTGACCAGGATCAAACAATCCTTTCAGCGTTTTGAAGGACTGCTTGCAGTTATCATTTTCATTTTATGCTATTTGACACATAATAAAAGGACTGGTGTCCATTACTGTTTTGACAGTCCATACAGAAGTTGTCCACAAATTTTGATTTGTCTTAAACTATATGAGCTGTATATTCCTAAATCATCTGGTTCCAGTTTTATGATCACTGTTGCAAACCTTTTTAAGCACGTGACAATCATCATCATCATCTTCATCATCTAATCTCCTCCATAGTGAAGGCAATGGTTACACACTCACATACAAAGAAACAACACAGATACAAGTGGGGTGGAAGTCTAAGCAGATCGAAATATAAAAATAAAAATAAAAGCTAAACACTGGACCTCTACCATATCAGCAAACACATTGAAGTGAGCAATAATTATGTTAATGGGAAAAGATTTCTGACATGAAAAAAAAAGGCTAAGCATAAACACATAAATGTGCTCAAATGACAGCACATTTTGGAACACAAACCAGTAAAACCAATTCCTAAGCAGCATTGCTAACATCTCATATCTGCTTACTTATCATATCAGGATGAAGAGAATTCTGTCGGGAAAACTCGGTTCCCTCAAGCTCGGCTCAGGGGCCTTTGTGCGGAAGTCAATCAACAAGATCCTGATCTCGGATCTCGGCAATACCTCAGCCCTGAACTTCACCAGGTCAGGCAGCGCAGCGGAACAATCAAAAACGAAAAATTCAAAATAGGAGAGAGAGAGAAGAAGAACACAACCAGTTTTAACGTGGGAAAACTTCTTGAATGAAGAAGTAAAAAACCCACGGGACCTAGTCCAGATCAAAAATCCACTATGAAAATAATAGTTACAAATAATCAAATACACCAATGTGGTGGTTAACTCAACCTCTCCAACAATGATGATAATCAAACTACCCTAGAGATGTTTCACTCAAACTCTCTCTAGAGATCTCTCAAATGCAAAGCATAAAGCTTTACTCTAACAATCAAACAATTTTTCTCTCAAATTTGTTCTCTCAAATCTGACCTAGCCTCCACCCTCAACTAATGAGTATATATAGAGGAGGTGGAAATTAGGTTTAGGGTTTTTAGGAAACCCCTCAAATGGGCTTGGGCTTATCATTGAAGGAGGAAGCCCAACAAATCTCCCCCTCCGACTTCAATGCGTCGGCTTTAGCATCAATCCGGCTCCTTCACAGCAATCTTCAAATTTTCTTGCTGGAACCGGCTTTGTCATCATGTCGGACCAATTTTGGTCAGTGTGCACCTTGACGAGTTCGAGCTCACCACCTTCCACCACATCCCGGATCCAGTGATACCTCACATCAATATGCTTAGTACGGGAGTGATAGGTTGAATTCTTCGCAAGATGGATTGCGCTTTGATTGTCACAACCCAGCTCGTACTTGTCTTGATCATGGCTGAGTTCCATGAGGAACTTCTTCATCCACAGCATCTCTTTGCTTGCCTCAGTAGCGGCAATGTACTCAGCCTCAGTTGTAGATAGTGCAACACATTTCTGAAGTCTTGATTGCCAAGAGACAGCTCCTCCGGCAAATCTCATCATGTATCCCGTCGTCGACTTCCTCGAGTCGAAATCTCCCCCTAAATCAGAATCCGAGTAGCCTTGCAACTCGGCTTTGCCTTCTCCAAATCGGAGACATAAGTCGGTTGTACCTCGGAGGTACTTGAAGATCCACTTCACTGCTTCCCAGTGCTCTTTGCCGGGGTTTGACAAATACCGGCTTACCATTCCAACAGCATACGCCAAGTCGGGTCTAGTGCAAACCATTGCATACATCAAGCTTCCGACGGCGGATTGGTAAGGGACCTTCATCATCTCATCTTTATCTTCATCAGATCTCGGACATTGCTTCTGGTTCAGCTTTATGTGTCCGGCTAGGGGGGTGCTCACTGTTTTGGCTTTGTCCATGCTGAATCTCTTCAGAATCTTCTCAATATATTTCTCTTGACTCAGCCACAGTAGCTTCTTCTGTCTATCTCGGATAATCTTTATTCCGAGAATCTGCTTTGCAGGGCCAAGGTCCTTCATTGAGAAGGACGAGCTCAACGCCTTTTTCAGGGCGGCTATCCTCGATTTGTCTTTCCCTACAATAAGCATGTCGTCAACATATAACAACAAAATCAGAAAATCTCCGGCCTCATACCTCTTCATAAATACACAGTGGTCGGCTTCAGTCTTCTCAAACTTATGATCAGTCATGAATGATTCAAATTTCTTGTACCACTGTCGAGGTGCTTGCTTCAAGCCATAGAGGCTCTTCTTCAACCGACATACCAAGTCTTCTTGGTCTGGAGCTTGGAATCCTTCAGGTTGCTCCATATATATTTCTTCTTCTAAGTCACCGTGAAGAAATGCCGTCTTCACGTCCATTTGTTCTACCTCGAGGTCCATTGAAGCTGCCATGGCTAACACGGTTCGGACCGAGGTCATTTTCACCACAGGAGAAAAAATCTCCTCAAAATCAACTCCTTTATTCTGATTGCAGCCTTTCACTACAATCCGGGCTTTGTATCTCGGCTTTTGCCCGTTTTCTTCATTCTTAATCTTGTAGACCCATTTATTTTTCAAAACTCGTCTTCCTTTTGGAAACTCAGTCAGCTCATAAGTCTGATTCTCGTGCAGAGACTTCATCTCGTCCTGCATTGCCTTTTTCCATTCTTCTTTCTCTGAGCTCGTTACAGCCTCATCATAACACTGAGGCTCACCGTCTTCAGCAACAACGGTGTACTCATCAGATGGGTACCTTGTAGAGGGTCTTCTTTCTCGAGTTGGATATCTCGGCTGTTCTTCAGCTTGAGAACCCGGTTCATCATTTTCATCCCGGATCTCATCATCAACTCGAACCTCAGTGTCTTGGTCATCTTCAGCTTGTTGCTGATCATCAATTTCTTCGTTTTCTTGATTTTCTCCCCCTGCTTCAGCTCGGACAGGAGGGATGGGTTCTTCACGTCTGACAGTAACCCGGACTTTGGGCTTCGAGATATCATGAATGTTCTCATGCTCATGAAAGATCACATCTCGACTTCTCACGATCTTCTTATTGATTGGATCCCAAAGTCGGAACCCGAACTCACATCTCGGCGAACCAAGATAAATGCATTCTTTAGTCTTTGCATCAAGTTTAGCCCATTCATCTTTAGGGATATGCACGAAAGCTCGGCATCCAAACACTTTCAGTTGATTGTAGGCCACTTTCCGACCTGTCCAGACTTCTTCTGGAATTTCTCCTTCAAGTGGCCGTGATGGTGAGAGGTTGATCAAGTCAACAGCAGTTTTAACGGCTTCTCCCCAGAATGATTTTGGTAACCCGGCATTGGATATCATGCTTCGTACCTTCTCTTCAATTGTTCTGTTCATCCTCTAGCCAGTCCATTTAACTGTGGAGTCTTGGGGGGCGTCTTCTCAAGTCGAATCCCGGCCGCTCGGCAATATGCATCAAATGGGCCGCAATACTCACCACCATTGTCAGATCGGACCACCTTCAATTTCTTGCCAGTCTCCCTTTCAACCATCGCATGGAATTCTTTAAAGGATTGGAGTACCTGGTCTTTAGTCTTCAACAAATATACCCACACTTTGCGAGAATGGTCATCAATAAATGAAACAAAGTACTGAGCTCCTCCAATAGATTTCTCTGACATGGAGCAAACATCAGTATGGACGAGGTCAAGAATATTCCTTCGTCTTCTTGGTTGATCCGGTCTCACAAAGGAAACCCGGTGCTGCTTTCCAGCTAGGCAATGCGTGCAACTCTCCAACGCTTGGCCTTTCAACCCGGTCAGTAATCCTTTCTTGTTCAGGATCTGGAGCCCTTTCTCGCTAATGTGGCCGAGGCGCTTGTGCCAAAGTTCCAAGCTAGGTTCATCTCGAACAGAATTGGCTTCTCCGCCATTGATCTTTCCTTGCATCACGTACAAGGAGCCTTCCTTCTTACCTCGGGCCACGACCAAGTTTCCCTTGGCCAGCTTCCATCTCACACTACCGAAGTAGTTCACTAACCCGGCATCATCAAGTTTGCCTACCGAGATTAGGTTCAAACACATGTCAAGAACATGCCTCACATCCTTCAACACAAGTCGGCATCCGACATCTGTGGTCAGAGTTACATCACCGACACCAACAATCTTGCTGGTCACCTGATTTCCCATCTTCACGACTCCAAAGTCACCACCTCGATAAGAGGAGAAAAAACCTTTGTGTGGAGTAACGTGGAAGGAGGCACCAGAGTCAACAATCCAGGTGCAGTCATCATATGCAACATTCAAATAATTATCCTCACCAAGGAGGAATATCTCGGCATCAGGATTTGCAGCCACCGCAGTGGTGCTCTTGTCTTCCCTCTTCTTGGGAACAATCTGATCCGGCTTCACAGAGCCGTTCTTCTCATCATTCTGTAGGGTCTAGCAGTCTGGCTTCTTATGGCCTGTCTTTCCACAGTAAAAGCACTTCAACTCATATTTCGGCTTTGACCGACCTCTGGACTTGTCTCGTCTGTCACGACCTCTACCTCGGCTTTTGCTTCTACCGCGGGAGTCGGATTTCCCTTTGTTCTCAGCAACGTTGGCCTCAGACGTACTCGAAGTACCTCGTTCTCTTCTCCTGGATTCTTCGCCCAAGAGGCTGTCTGTCACGACATCCATCTTTAATTTTCCATCTGGAGTCGAGTTATTCAGGGTCACCACCAGAGTATCCCAGCTTTCTGGCAGCGAGCTCAACAGCAGCAATGCCTGCAATTCTTCATCAATTTTCATATCAGCCTTTGACAGCTGATTCACAATACCTTTGTAGGTGTTCAGGTGTTCAATCATGCTCATGCCGTCCTTGTATTCAAGCTTAACAAGTCGGCGAACCAGGTGTGCTTTGTTCCTGGGAGTCTTCTTCTGAATCATGGACTCCAGCTTCGTCCACAACTCATACGCGTTCGTGAATTCGGACACGTGCTCAAAGAGGCTTTTATCAATATATTTCCTGATCGTGGCTACCGCCTTCCGACTCAGGATCTCCCACTCGTTATCAGTTTTGCCTGCCGGTCTCTCATCAAGGATAATGGGCTCATGCAAATCTTTGCAGTAGAGATGATCTTCCATCATCGGTCTCCAATATGTGAAATTATCTGCGGTCAACTTGAACATATCTCCATCATGAGTTATGCCACTGGTCTCCATCTCGTCTCCCTCAGATCCCGTCGAACTCGGGCTCTGATACCACTGTCGGGAAAACTCGGTTCCCTCAAGCTCAGCTCAGGGGCCTTTGTGCGGAAGTCAATCAACAAGATCCTGATCTCGGATCTCGGCAATACCTCAGCCTGAACTTCACCAGGTCAGGCAGCGCAGCGGAACAATCAAAAACGAAAAATTCAAAATAGGAGAGAGAGAGAAGAAGAACACAACCAGTTTTAACGTGGGAAAACCTTCTTGAATGAAGAAGTAAAAAACCCACGGGACCTAGTCCAGATCAAAAATCCACTATGAAAATAATGGTTACAAATAATCAAATACACCAATGTGGTGGTTAACTCAACCTCTCCAACAATGGTGATAATCAAACTACCCTAGAGATGTTTCACTCAAACTCTCTCTAGAGATCTCTCAAATGCAAAGCATAAAGCTTTACTCAAACAATCAAACAATTTTTCTCTCAAATTTGTTCTCTCAAATCTGACCTAGCCTCCACCCTCAACTAATGAGTATATATAGAGGAGGTGGAAATTAGGTTTAGGGTTTTTAGGAAACCCCTCAAATGGGCTTGGGCTTATCATTGAAGGAGGAAGCCCAACAAATTCAACATAATCCATCATTTGCACTAAGAACTATTGTCAAAATCCAGACACAAGGACCATCTACAAGTCCAACACATAAATTAATTCAATGTTTAACTTAAAAAAAAAATACAAAAATTACATGCTTTAACCTACTGGTTTGGAATCTGAGTGCAAGTCTGACACAATATTTAAATGTAATTGCAAACACTATCACTTTTAATGCCAGTCTATAGTAATGAATTCCAAGTGGAAAACTGCTATACTGCACATAGATGGCTGAACTCAGCCTTTAACTCATCATTGGCAAAATGTTTTGGAAAGTCAAAGATCATAAGCAGAATTTACAAACTTTCAAATCTCAGAAAGAAACATTTTGAAAATTTCAAGAAAGAAAAATCCAGAAAACAAAGAAGATACAAAAGTGAACCATAAACTGACTTTTAACACTACAGTCTCGAAATATTACTCTATTTGAAAAAAATATATATATATATCGTTGAACATGAGACGAAAGCTTGCATAAGTGTTCAAATCGGTAAGTGAAATAGGCAATTTTTAATACTGAGTTCCACCTGGGTACCAAAATAAATACTATAAGTCACTAAAGTTTATCCAGCAACAATTATAGATTCAGCACAGGCACCAGCTGGTGCATAGAGTAGCTAAAAAAAATGTTGCATCAATGACATCATAGCATCTAGGAAATGAACTCAGACCACCAAGAAATGTTTCTCAACTAAAATTAGAATGACATTATAAGTTCCTTTGAGAGTTTAAACTTTTCTTGCCATAGGGCATTAAAGAATATGCCTCCATAGTTTTTATTAATAGAGGATGAATGATTGTTAACCCACTCACACAAGTAAATCAGAGATTAAATTCCAGAATACAAATTTTCTTTCTCTTGATAAGAACCTTGGGATACACCACCCCAAACTTTTCTTGTAAAACACTAATTCAACCCAAAAGCTTAAGCTATTGGGTGAGGCTACATTAATGGTTTTATATATCTCAACACGTCCCCTCACACGAGAGCCCACTGGGCTTGAAGAGTGGACAATGCATAGGCCCACCTACCTATGCGAAGAAAGAAATTCCACTAGAAAGAAAGTGGGAGGCGGTGAGGATCGAAAGTGGGAGACGCTAAGGATCGAACCCGGTACACCGAGGCTCTGATACCATGTAAAGAACCAATTCAACCCAAAAGCTTAAGCTATTGGGTGAGGCTACATTAATGGTTTTATATATCTCAACACTTTCCTATGATGACTGATGATCACAATAAAAATAATATCAGGCCTTATTTCACTAAATGCATGCAATAAACAGAAATGCCTCACTAACAACAGAGAGCAGACCTTATTAGGCTGGACATCATCAAACACATGAGCTTGACCACCATAAAAAATAGTCATCTGACAGCTGGAAGATGTTAACCCATGTGAACTGCAGTCAATAACAAAAAGCATAAAATCCATTTTCCAAGGTAAAGCCATAAAGGGGACGAAAGTTTAAAAACAAACATGGGGAATTGGGCAATTGTATTAGTAAGATTCACCTTGGAGATGTGGAAGATTCTGGGTCTACTATATTAGTCATAGGTTTCGGTCGGCTGCCACCAAGCAGCACTGCAGATGAAGTTTTCTCAGTGGCAGCATTGGTTGTGTTTATAGAACTCAAAATGCCAGGGCCCTTGATTCCAGTTCTAGATCCTTCATCAGCAGCTGACTGAGAGATAAATGAAGGACCGGCATTGGTATCCCTCATTTTGTTTGAGGTTATTTGATGAACAAAAGGTGTTAATTGGGCACCGTGAGGTGGATGCTGCATGCAAGGGCCAACATTCATGAGAATAGATTGCTCCCATTTACTGGCATCAATCTTAGTGTTGGAGGGAGGCTGAAATATCTGAGAACCAGAAGTTGGCTTCAGTGACTGTATACCAAGAAACACTTCATCATCATTGGACCTTCTAAGGCGCTCCCCTCCAGCTGCATTTCGGAGTATCTGTATCGAAACAAAACTCTCAAGTATCAAATAATAGAAAGGCAAAAGCAAAAATATGTATCAAATAATAGAGAAGAAGAATTGTGTGGGACCTTCATCAAATGTGAGTTTTGAAGGGAATCAGGGCCCATTTGAAAGGCATCTCTGGAGGAACCCATAAAGGTGGAATCAGAATTACTTCTCTTGTTTCCCACTAGTCTATTACCTATCTCAGCGCCAGAAAAATCACTCCTCGGACCATAGAATGGAACTCCCTCAAGATGATTCCCTACCTGTCTTTCTATCAAATTGATGAGGGAAACAAACATTACACTCCAGAAAATTGAAAAACACTTAAAAGGACAACAGAAGCCACTATAAATATTTTGTATTTTCAAAAACAACAAGACTAAAGACTAAGGACGCCTAAGTATTCAGTGAAAATTCCAAGGAAAAAAAAATGAAAAAAAAAAAATGATATCATCATCATTGTTATCTAATGCACAAGCACTGACAAAACATAAAATACAGCAGAGAAAGTTTTCGGTATAAACAACAGAAAATCTCAGCATAAATTCAGTTTCGTAAATCCAAAGATATTAGTAGAAGTATGAACTATGAAGAAGAGAATCAAACCAACACCAAACTGCAAAGAAAAACTATGTAAAAAAGAAAGGGGGGGAAAACCCTGAAAGCAAACTTACATAACTTGCCAGAAAATGTTCCTACCAATTAACACACAATGGATGAATGGTTAAGAAAATGAAAATAAAGGAAATCCCGACACACACACAACTTTGTTGAGAAAACAAAGATCAACAGAATCTAACTACCCCAACACAACACTAACCTTATTAAAACTAACTAATCCATCAGAAAGATAACCCGCTACTGAAAAAAGCAAATAGATAAACTGAGGGTAGAGAACACAACAAACACAGCACAAGTGGAAGGTGAAAACTGATAACAAAGAAATAAAAATCACAAGTAAACCCCATACATCAAAATGCAGCACATGGGTTTCATACAGGAAGAGAAAAGATCATGTTTTTAAGCAAAAGGGGGTGGTACGCACTCACCGGAACCAATGTCGGAGGTGGTTGAGAAGGGGCCACCGCCACGGGACACGGTGGTGGAAGAAGGGGAAGGGGGCCTAACATGGAGATGGGTGGTTTTAGGGGCCAAAAGGACATTGGAGTCATTGGGGTTCTTCTTCATGCCTAGAAAATCATGGAACACAGGGTTCACTATTTGTTGTTGGATCCCACTGTTGTTATTGTTGTTGGCATTGTTAAGCTGAGCCATTCTCAGCAGGGCCATAGCATACACATCTCACTCTTCATGGATGATTATAGTTCTACTCCACACTGAAGAGAGAGAGAGTGTGTGTGTGAGAACAGAACACTGATCTCTAGAAAAGGGTCTGAAAAGAAAGAGAATCTGTGTCCTATTTTAAGAGAGAGAGAGAAGAGAGTATGAGGGAATGAAAAGGTTAATGGCAATTGTTCTGTGGTGTGGTGATGTTTTCTGTTCAATTTAATGGAGGGGCATGTCTGTCACTGCGTGATTCTCCCACTTATTGCTGCCTTTTTAATTTTATTATCTTTTTTTTTCTATTTTTTATTTATTTATTTCTGGTTTGTGGGTGATATATACAAAGTTTTTGGTTTTCAGTTGGGAAGCCCCCAACATCATAATTTAAAGAAACACTTAATTTTTGCAACTTCTAACCGATTTATAATTTTGGGATTTCAAGCAAAAACCAAACATGTTAATAATATATGTTGGTGTGAATGTAATAAATTCTGTCAGAGTCCATGGGAGAGAAAAATATATGGAAGGGGAAATAGAATAAGGGTGTGTTTAAATGAAAATTTAAAACAATCTTTTAAAATTCGAACGATCATCGATTTCGTCGAACCAGATTTACTCTTTACATATTCAAAAAAGATAAACATATTATTTATATTGAAAATTCACATAAGAAAATTAAAAATGAATTTAAAAAATAAATTGATTCTCAATTAGCAAATATTATATACTTCTAGGCTTCTAGCTCTAGACCATATCCTAACATTAGATTAAAATTGTAATATAAACTAAATGTACCTTTTATGCCTTGACATAACACAGATAAACTAAATCATGATAACAAATAGTAGGCATGAAATATACATTAAAAAGAAAGTTTCTATCCTTGAGATGAGACCATCATTGTTTATACCCGCTTAACTTCTTTAGATCATTATAAGATACAACTAAATTACATAAATGAATTGCATTAATACAAAATACCTTCTTATTTTCACATTACTTTTTAATCATATTTACCAAAAAATATGAACATGATTTAATTCAAGAGTTCATAGCAACCAAAAAAAATATATATATTTAAAAAAAAAGTTTTACAAAAAAAAAAAAAAAAGAGGGTCAACCGGTCTAACCTGGGTCAACCAAGTCACTGAGTCACCGGGTCTCGATCGGGTCAACCGGTCCAAACCGAGTTGACTGCAGAACCAGTCCAAATGACCGCTCGGACCAAGAAACCCACCGGGTCACCAAGACCCGGGTTGACCCGGCCAGTCCGAACCAATTTTTAAAACATTGATTTAAAGTAAGACTTTTTAAAAAAGGAGAGAAAGAAAATATGCTTTATTTGTTTAGATATTTATTATGTGGTTTATATTTTTGAAAAGTTTATTTACAAACTGTCGCTATAAATTTTAAAATTGTTTTGATTAGCAATAATTGTATCAATAAATCTTTTATTTACTTTATATTAAGTCATTAGCAAAAAAAAATGACGTAGTCATGTTTAAGCCTTTCAGAAATGAACTCATGGTAAGGAACTGGTGTTTATAAATCATGGTATGAAAATCAAAGTTTTACTGATGAAGATTGGGTCGGAAGAGATAGAATATCAACTTTTGGTTATTGCAATTTTATAGAAGGAAAAATCTTGCTAGATGGAAAAAGTATAAAGCAAACTATAATAAGAAGAAATAGTGCTCAAGCTGTTTTCAAATATGTAGCTCATAAAGTCTATGAAGTTATATGGATAAAAATGATCCCAGAGGAACTCATAATTCTAAGTCAATAATACATTCAAGTCTATTGTGACAAGTCTACCATTGCAATTGCTCACAATCCGATGTTATATGACAGAACCACATATACAGAAGTAGACAAATACTTTATCAAAGAAAAAAATGACAAAAGAGTAATATGCATGCCTTATGTTCCAACCAAATAACAAGTAGCAGATATATTCACCAAAAAAGTTATCCAATATACAGTTTAATCATTTAGTAAGTATTCAAATCAGTTTGAGAAGGAACGTTGAATAATCTTATCAATTTAATAGTAGATTCACAAGTTTATTGTACAAAATTACCGGATCTTTGTATTTTATCTTAGGCTTTCTCTTTGTTTACTCTCTAAATCACCCCTTCTATAGGAAATAGATCATAATAGTAACTTTCAAAGTTTTCTGAGGTAGAAATCATCAAAGACAAGTAAACAATTAAACTAATAATTGTGAGTTAACATAAAAGTAAATTAGTTATAACTTAGTTTATAAAAGAAACTAATATTTTGAAATAAACATAATTGTTAAGAAGACACATAACAAAAGAGTCACGAGTAAAAATCTTACGGGTTATTTGTCTTTGATTTTCCCCTTCTTCGAACGGTTGTTGATATGGAAGAGTTTTTTTCCCTTGATTTTCCCCCACCATTTGTCACAAATACAATCTCAAGCAAACAAGTAATTATTATATAAATAGATTAATTGCAAGTAATCATATATTGATGACTAGTTATTAGAACCCAGGCCAACCTTTATCGTAAAAAAAAAAAAAAAAAAAAAAAGAAAAAACCGATTGTCATTATCTTATAAAAATCTCCACTACAAGTCATTATTGTTTTCGCTCCCAGTTAAACTCTCCTGAAAATATTTTAGGGTTATATTTACATTATGTTGTATAAAATAAACAAGTTTTCTACACATATAAAATAGAGATATGTCCTATATTTATTTTTTCTCTCTCCTCTTAAATATGGGTCACACTTGTAATTTTATTTCTATAAAATGAGATAACTATTTTCCTACAACATAAGATAACTATAATCCATTATTTTAGAACTAAAATACATTTAAAGGTTTAACATTAAGTTGCTTTTTTTTTAGTAAGGGCTAAAATACATTTTTAACTGTATGCGTATCATTTAGTTTAATTTAATTCTCATAATTTTCTTAGCTAATTGTTACTGATAAAACATTGAGAAAAGTACACGAAATAATTACAAAACATACAAATTAAATTAAAAGTTTTTATCACATATAAAAACTATAATATGTAATATTCTAAATTATATGACATTCATTTTTATTTAATTCTTGTACTTCACTAATATATCTCTTACAAACGATTTTATAACAATAAGAAATAATGAAGACCAAATTAAAAATAATTATACATATAAAATTGAATTACAAAAAAATTTCCACTTGAGGATTAAATTACACGTAAATATCACATATAACAACCAAAAACATATTTTAACTACATTTTAGACTATTCGCAGCAACTGCAAGACAATCACCAAAAATATAAAACTCCATACAGTCTCCCAAACCAAATAAATACGAATATATGACAACAATTGAATTGAATTGTTCACTTGATCATATAGAAAATATATATATATTCAATTAACTTTTTGGTACTTGAAATATCCGTAAGTTAATTCCATTGAATTTGATGTTTCACTTTGGACTAACTTCGGTCGGAAAGTTTACTAGTTTAGAGTACTTACAAACCCCTTTTATAACAAAAACTCATCCCCACGCATGACCATTGGATACCCTGAAATTGTGTCAAACAAATTATCCATGCAGATGATCTAATTTCCTGCAAAGGGTCGTCAGTTTTTTGTTGCAAAAATAGTGTGACCAGACTTACTAAATATTTATTTTCCTTCCACACCTTGATAATTCAATTTAACAGTGAAGACCACTAAAAAAGAAAAATAGTGTGAATAAATAATAAAAACTAGATAAACAGGTACCCATGGAATATGGACCAAAAAGAGGGAAAACTAAAACTAAACATATGACCGCATTGCCACTCTTCAAATGTGTTAGAGAATAATATAAACTATTAAAAAGACCTTGTTTTGGATTGAAGCGATTCTTTACATGATATTAAAGCTTCAGTAACCACAAAGTCACAAGTTTAAGCTTGGTCACAAATTTAAGCTTTTGGGTTTAATTAGTTCTTCATAAAATGTATATACGGATAATCTAGGAGCATTAAATATCTATTATCATAATCTCTTCACTGTTGAAACTTCTGAAATCTGGTGACCTTTGGTCCCCGGTGGGAGGCTGGAAGCAATTGCTGTAACTCAAGAATAGATGAGCCCGCCCTGCACATAAGAAAATAACCATGATTAAGTTTTAATGTGCTCTATTAGCCTAGTGGCATCTGGGCCTAGCTTCCCTTAAAAAGCACCTCGTGAGGGGTTCAATCCCAAGTTGGTCTCTATTCTCATGCTCTGTCCACTTTTTGGCCCACTCCCCTGACCAGGTCCTACGAGTTAGGACCTCCATAGTAACAAAAATTAATTAAATATATAAACAAAGCCTTCGTATTCCTTCGTATCTTTATTTGGGTTCATCTACCACCGACTCCAATTAATTTGAGATAAAGGTGTGGTTGATATAAATAAAGCCTTTGTGACCAGAAGGTCCTAGCCCCCTCCTGTGTTTGAGTCTAAGAAACTTCTTTGCAAAAAAGTAAAGGTAAGAACTCATACAATTAACTCTTATCCCTCCTCTCACAAAGTTGGGAAACCTCCGTGCATTGAAGTTTGTCCTTTGTCCTTTATATAAATAAAGCCTTTCTCACGGTTTACCAATACAAATATATTTGGGAAAATACAATTTAGGATATACTACACAAAATATTTCTAATTGAAAATGGTGAACAAAACAAGTGGTTAACAATGAGGAAAGATGGCCAATATGTTGACATGACTAACCATTCATTTGGTTGGAAATTAAAATTCTACATTAAAATTCTTCCAATATAAAAGGGTAAAGCTGCATACAAGGATTGTCTTACCCCTACCATCGCTAATTGGAGTTTAATGGGAAGTGGTTTTATAATTCTTCCAAATTTCCAATATAATTTCAAAACAATGATAATTTTATACAAAGGAAAGCGGAAGTGCTTTCTATGGCAGAGATGAGCATATTAACTAAGCAAAAAAGATACAAATTTATGCCACAAAATTTCACTTAAACAACCCCTTTTGCTTGATCCATCAGAAGATTACTGGGATTTGCACCAGCCTTATGATGGATACGCAAAGCAATTTTCTGTGAATTCCAACAGCAAGAATAAAGTACACCAAAGAGTAGTACCTGAATATTGAGTCGGTCTAGATAATTTAACAGCAAAAAGAAAAAACCCCTCCAGAGATATTGATCATCAGACACATCTTCTGGAGTATGCATGGCTCAGAACTCCAGCTACCAGCAAAGCATCACATAAACTTGGTTAAAGAAGAGCAATGAAGATTACTCCAGTCAAAACCTCTAAAAGGCCTCTTGAACTATTAACTCCATGCCGCCATCTCAATTGATACACATTTCTGAACAAAGAAACACCATTGTTTGCACATGCTAAAGTAGATAATAGTAAATCAGTTCACTGACCCACTTACTATTGCTGTGACGCCTACATATAGCATAGGAAGTGCAGCCGAAATTTTTTGTACAAAAGGCTCTGATTCCCTGCTGTGAACAAATGTGAACTGATTCCCATGTGTTCAAACTGTCAGTAATTGCTCCCTGCTGATCGCAGAATATGTTCATCTTGTACTTATCTTTTTCTTAATATCCTCTATCAAACAGTTTGCGCTTGAAACATCATTTTCTGATGAACTTGTATACTTCTCAAGTTCTCTAGGGTCCTTGCAGTTCTTCAGCATGTCAGAAAATGCTTCAGCTTTCTGAATTATAGATTTTCTTCGTGCATATGCATCATCCCTATCTTCATTATAAGTGTTTGGCAAGTTGCTAGAATGGGGAACAGAAGACATCAAGCTGCAAAGTTTTTCAGCCATTTCATTCATACCTTTTTTCTTTAAGGCAGCATTCATTCTCTGGAAAGTGAGATACTGAGGAACTAAACCCCTCCGTATCATGTCCTCAAATTCCACAAAAGCCTCTTCCAACCTATGCATTTTGCAAAGCAAATGAACAAACATGGTACTCGTAGCCAAGTCCATGTCATATCCTTTATGCCTCATTTCCTTGCTAACTTGAACTGCCAAGTCTAACCTCTCCTCTTCACATAACATCTTCACCAGAAGATGGTAAGTTAGCCGATCTGGGGTATAACCAGATTCAATCATCTTGGTATACAAGTTCATCCCCTCCTCAATTTTTCCACATCTTGAAAAGTACCTAAAAAAGTAGTTATAGGTGGTGGGAGTAGGGACAAAACCCCTACTTATCATCATTTTCAGAATCTTACTTGCACCTACAAGATCTCCTGCCTTACAAAACCCCTTCACCAGAGAATTGTATGTTGATTCAGTGGGACCAATTTCTAAAACATGAAAACGCTCCATCATACCCAAAGCCTCTTTAAATCTCCCAGCTTCAGCCAATGCATCAACTATTGGGTTATACACAATTGCATTCGGTTCAATTCCTTCTCTGGCCATATCACCAACCATTTCAAGTGCCTTTTCAACACGGCGCATTCGACAATATCCTTCTACAAGTGTACCGTATGTCACAACACTCGGCCTCACATTCTCCTTCTTCATCTCTTCCCAAAGCCTCTCACCATGTTTTAGTTTCCTCGACCGAAACCATCCATTTAACATTATGTTATAAACCCGAATCGAAGGAACCCAACACAACTCCATCTCCTTTCTCTTAAGGAAATACTCTGAAGCTTCCCTTACAGACCCTTCTTTACAAAGTGAATCCATCAATATCTCAAATAAACTCATTTCCGAGCCAGAATCCACAATTGACTTACTCTTTCTAGCAAACTCAAATGTTCTAATTGCAGCTTTGGGCATACCTGAAAATTTTTAAATTAAAAAAAAAAAAAGTGCATTCCTCAATCCTCATTACATAAAGAAACAGAATAATTTTTAATAAAATTAACCACTTAATGCATTAGCAAAAATACACTGTTACTTGCGATATACCAAAATCAAATTGAACAATTTGAAAACCTAAATTGCAAAATGTGTCTCTGTTACCTGCACGCGCGTAGCGTCGAATCATGATAGCAAATGTACCAATGGAAACCAAGGTTTCTTCCTCGTCTCTATCGGTGTGATCGAGAATGAGAGTCCAAGCGGAGTCAAACTCCCTCGACTTGGCAAGAACGTTGACCATGGAGTCGAATAGCTTCGGGTCGGGTCTGAATCCGGGTCTCTTCTCGGCCCAGAGGAACAGCGAGTGCAGGAGCTTCGGGGACGAGCCGAAATGGTCGAACACAGTGCGCAGGAGAACCGGACCCGGTTCGATTCCGGACCGGTCGAGTTCGGCGTTGAGGACTGGGCCCGGAGAAATGGAAGGGTCGGTGAAGAGATTGGCAATAAGAGAGAAATCATTGCGCGAGAAGTCGGAGTCAGAGTCGGAGTCCGGATAAGAAGATTCGGATCCCGGGTTCGGGTTCGGGTTCTGAGTAGGTTTGGTGATTGATAGTGAGGGCCACTGGATGATTGGGTTTCCGGGCACGGATAGCCATGACGAAGAGGAAGACGGAGAAGAAGAGAAACGACGTCGTGAGAGTGAGATTGAAGGAATAAGGTTGGGTTTGAGGGTCAACACCCAAAAACGAAGGGAGAAGAGAATACGTCGAGATTTCTGAGAAAGCATTTGGTTTGGAAGCAGCGAAGCAAACGAAGGTAGCGTTTAACTCGTAACAGAAATTAAGGAGTTGTTTGGTATAAGTTTTCTATTTAGATTCCTAGGTAACTTCAAGTGGTATTTTCATCTTACCATGTTTGGTACAAGAGTACCATAAATTTAACCACCGAAATCATTTACCCAGGCATGATGAATCGTCTGCTAGGTTTTGGTGCTCGTTCATGGTCGAAAAAGGGGGGCGTCCCCCACCACTGAGGGGGAAGGAGGAAACATCAGAGAATCGAAGAAGGCGAAAAGCGAGGTGCTGTTAGATCAGGAAATGCACGACAGATCTCCGATTGTGGCACAATGGAGATTGAAACCGGTGACAGAGTCATGCGCTCTGAGGCTGAGGGGATGGAGACAGTGGTGGAACCGGTTGGGGAGGCGCGTAGGGATCCTCGTAGGCTGGTTTCATACAAGGATAAGCTTATCCAAGTTAATGGAGTTTGGGACGGGCTCCAGGCGAACGAAGATGATGATTGGCTGGCCCAGTGTAGAAGGGAGGAAGATGAGGAAAAAGGAGCTACGAGAGCTTACGAACAAATTGGGGAAGATGACCCCTTGAACCCGTACTTCCAATTTGACATTTTGGAGAAGCTGGAGCAGTGCAAGAGATGGCGTAATGCCCTGATCGTGAAGCTAATAGGTAAATGAATTGGGGCAAAATTTCTTTGGAATAGATCGCATAAACTGTGGCACCTCAATGGTGACTACAAAGTCTTAGATCTCTGGAGAATGATCACTACTTGGTCGAATTCGAGAAGGCGCAGGATTACCTATTCGTCCAGCAACAAAGTCCTTGGATAGTTGCTGACCATTACCTAGCAGTGGAGACCCAATTTTGACCCACATGATGATAGGGTGAAGAAATTGGCTGTCTGGCTTCGAATACCAGGAGTTTCTCGGGAGTTCTACACCTACAAAGATCTTTGGAGAATGGGCAACATGGTGGGGAAGACTCTCAGAATTGATGAAAGCTCTCTCAGGACAGGTGGTTTACATGAAGAGGTAACTGATAGAGGTAGGTTTGCCCGTATTTGCGTAGAAGTTGATTTGAGTAAAAGCCTGTTGTCCAAATTTCGAATTGGTCAAAGGCAATTGTTTATAGGTTATGAAGGATTACATCTTATTTGTTTCCTGTGTGGTTAATATGGCCACAGGAAAGACTATTGTTCGATTAATCATGTGAACATTAAGTCTGTGGAGGAGAATACAAGTGAGGGTACGCATGGTGAGCACCCTGCACAGTGTCATGGTGAAGGGGTTTTTACAGGTGAAGTGGAAAAGAGCCAGGAGGTAGATGGGTTTGGTACCTGGATGACGATACAGAGGAGGAATAATAAGAGGCCAGAAGCATAGCTAGGGTAAAGGAAAAGCTGGAAGTGAGCAGAATGGGCAGGGACAGAAGTCCAAGGTTTCGGGTTCCAGATTTGAATCCCTTGGGGATGAGGAGGAGAAGGAGACCCTTCAGCCTAGAAGGAGTGGAAATGTCTCAGCTGAGGCTAGTCAATTAAAAAGGAATCCAGAGAATAGAAAGAAGAAAGCCACTGCTGATAGAACTAGTCCAAAACAGGTACCTGTAGTCATTGAAAAGACCCCAGAGAAACAGATGATCCAGCCATCTATGTCACTAGACTCTGCCATGGTGCACGCTCAAAGGAGCTCAGGTAGGGAGGCTATCTTGGTGAGTAAATCCAGTATAAGACTGAAGCCTCAGGGGGGCAGCTCTCATGCAAGCAAAAAACTTGAATACTGGGCCAGAGTGTAGTCTACCCAAACACACTGACCCAGGACCAGGGGCTGTCTTACAACCAAATTTTAAAGAGATTCCCCCTGATGATAGTGGGAGAGGAAAGAATATCAGCCAGGAGGGTAGAGTGTCCATGATTCTGGATGATATTACTAATATGGAGGGAGATAAGAGAACCAATGGTGTGGTTTGACTGGTTATGCGGGTGTCTTTGGTTTATTAATTTTATCTTGATGATAGTTTGCACTTGGAACTGTAGAGGGGTAGGGAAAAAAGGTTTCTCTACTCTTGTTAAAGATCTGGTGGTTCAGAATAAAATTCAAGTTCTTGCTTTGCTTGAGACTAGAATCAGTGGGAAGAGAGCTGAAAATATTACTAGGAGATTGGGTTTTGATAGTTGTTTCAGGAGAGAAGCAGTTGGTTTTTCAGGGAGCATCTGGCTTCTTTGGAATAAAAGTGCTACTTGTGTTAGCATTTTAGAGGATAACCATCAATTTGTTCACACCAAGTTGAGTTGGGCAAGAGGAACACTTCACCTTTATTTATGGTAACCCCAGGAGGATGGAAAGAAGGGATCTCTGGGACAGTTTGAGGAGAATTAGCAATGGGGGAGTGAATAGATGGGCTGTTATGGGGGATTTTAACGTGTTACTTGAAGAAGGGGAGAAGCAGGGAGGATCAGGTTGTGTTGGGGGAGTACTGATGAATTTGCCTCTTGCCTGAGTGACTACAATCTTTTTGATTTGGGCTTTGCTGGCCCTAAATATACTTGGAAAATGGGCTGCCTCCAAGAAAGAATTGACAGATTAGTGGTTAATGAAGCTTGGCATCTGGGGTTTCCTAACAGGTCCATCACTCACCTTTTGTTTAATCGGTCGGATCATAGGCCCATTATCCTTAAGGATACCTCCTCTGTTGATCAAAACAAGGATCTAAAACCTTTTCGTTTTCTGGCTGCATGGCTGACTAATGATAGCTTTGGAGATGTGGTGAAGGGGTGTTGGCAGCATAATTCTGAGTGGATACCAGCAAAATCTAAGTTCCATTAGGATGCTACAACTTGGCACCAGAATAGCTTCAGGGCATGGCAGAATAAGAAATATCAAATCCAGCGAAGAATGAGGGGAATTGAGCTCCATCTTAGCAGGGGCCCTGTGAGGCTCTTGACAGATTACACAAAGACTTGTGGCAGAAATTAAATTCTATCTATGTTCAAGAGGAACTAACTTGGTTCGAACGTTCAAGATGCAATTGGTTGGCTTTCGGAGATAGGAACTCAAGGTTCTTCCACTCAGCTACCATTGCCCGAACAAGAAGAAATAAAGTAACAACATTGAGAAATGATGAAGGAGTTTGAGTGGAGGAGCCAGAGGAGCTCAAACTTTTAGCTATGAATTACTTCAAGAATCTGTATGTGAAGGAGGATCATAACTTACCCAAACTTTGTATTGGAGGTTTATTTCCTTCCTTGGATGAGAACCCTTGGAGAAATTTCGAAGCTACCCCAACTTCAGCTGAAATCAGAAGCACCATTTTTGGGATGCACCCTTTTAAAGCCACTGGAGTAGATGGGCTACATGTTGTATTCTTTCATTCCCAATGGGATATTGTGGGAAACTCAGTTTGCAACACCATTAAAGATATCTTTAAGGACCCGAAGAGAGTTGCAGGAATTAACCAAACCTTAATTTGTCTGATTCCCAAAGTAGAGAACCCTGAAGCTATAAGTCAATTCAGACCTATAAGCTTATGCAATGTCATCTACAAGGTGGTTACAAAAATTGTGGCCTCCCGTTTGAAAAATTATATGAGGGAGCTAATTATGCCAAATCAGTGCAGCTTTGTGAAAGGGAGGCATGCTTCGGATAATATTGTGATCAGCCAAGAGATATTCCACTCTATGAGAGCAAGGAAAAGAAAGAAAGGGTGGATGGCAATTAAGGTTGACCTGGAAAAGGCTTATGATAGAGTTAGCTGGGAGTTTCTCAGGGAGACCCTACAAGTGGCTGGATTTCCTAGTCCTATGGTGGATCTTATTATGGAGTGTGTGTCTTCTTCATCCATGAACTTGCTTTGGAATGGAGCCCAGACAAATGACTTCACACCCTCTAGAGGTATAAGATAGGGTGATCCTTTATCTCTCTATCTGTTTGTTTTGTGCATAGAAAGACTTGGTCAACTCATTAATGTGGCTGTGAATCAGAAGAATTGGAATCCTATTAAGCTGGGTAGAGGAGGTCCTCCTATTTCCCACCTGTTTTTCGCAGATGACCTCTTCTTGTTTGCAGAAGCTTCAGTAGACCAAGCCAGGCTAGTTTCAGACATTTTGAGTCATTTTTGTAATGCATCTGGGCAGAAGGTGAACAACAATAAGACAAGGTGTTTCTTTTCAAGAAATGTGAATCATGTGAAGAGAGGAGAACTATGTCAAATTCTGAATTTTGCTCCCACTGCTGACTTAGGCAAGTACTTGGGGATTCCTATACTTCATAAGAGGGTCAATAAAAATACCTTTAGGTATATAATTGACAAGACTAATAGCAAAAACAGTGCCTGGAAGGCAAAATCCTTGTCCATGGCAGGTAGGATTGTGCTCACTAAATCTGTCCTGGCTTCCTTACCATCATACTCCACGCAGATAGCACTTTTACCCCTTGGAACGTGTGATGAAGTGGAGAAGAAAATGAGGGGTTTCGTATGGGGATCCAGTCAAGAAGCTAGGAAAGTCCATGCTTTACCATGGAATACTCTATGCAAGGCAAAAGAGAAAGGTGGTCTTGGGATTAGGAGTTTGAGACTAACCAATAAAGCTTGCCTCATGAAAATTGGGCATAGAACTCTCACTCACAGAAATAATCTTTGGGTGCAAGTTTTGAAAAGTAAATATAAAATGGAGGATGGGTTGATGCCTTCGATCAAGAAAAAAAGTGGTTGCTCAAATTTATGGCTTGGTTTAGCTAGGGTGTGGCCCAAAATTTATGAAGGGTCAAGGATTCTAATAGGTAATGGAGTCAACAGTTATTTTTGGGAGGATAAATGGTTGCCCATTGGCCCTCTAAAGGACCACATTGTCTAGGACTTACCCCCTGGAACCCATACTGTTATGATAGCACAAATGGTGGATCAGCTTGGAGAATGGAAGTGGCAGGAGTTTGAGGATTTGCTGACCCAAGAAGCTTTGAACTGTATTGCAGGTACATGTCCCCCTCGGATGGATGATGGAGAAGATCAGGTGATTTGGGAGCAATCCCATGATGGTAATTTTTCCTTCAAGACAGCTTTGAACAGCCTTTGTATTGAAGATTCTCCTCAAGTTTAGCCCCACTGGAATTCAGTGTGGCAATGGGAGGGTCCTCCTCGAATCAAGATTTTCCTATGGCTTTTGCTTGGTGAAAATCTGCTCACTAACCTAAGGAGGTTTCAAAGGCATTTTTCTGATTCAAATACTTGCCCCAGATGTAACTCCTACCCTGAAAGCTGCAGTCATGTCATGAGGGAGTGTTCCTGGACTCAACGAATATGGAGACAATTCATCAGCAGGGAAAATTGGGCAGCTTTTCATAGCCAGAACCTGCAGAACTGGTTAGTATCCAACCTTTCACCTAAACTTAGCTTACTGGGAGGCTTTGAGGGCAGTACCTTGTTCGGGATTATATGCTGGCTCATATGGAGAAATATGAATAGTTTTGTTTTTTAAAATACAAACTCTACAATAGAGGAAATAATTAGATCTATTCGTACTTTCTTGCAAAAAAAATTGGAGGCAAGGAAACTGTATAGAGATACTGGGTTGCAAGTTGGACAGAAAGTGGAAACCCTTGTTCAGTGGGTACCTCCACCAGTTGGTTGGATCAAAATAAACACGGATGGGTCTGTTTGGAAGGAAATAGAAAGAGTGGGTGTGGAGGAGTCCTAAGGGATGAATCTGGGCACTGGATTATGGGATTTGCTAGAAACCTGGGAGCAGGAAGCTCTGTCAAAGCATAATTATGGGGTTTCTTACTGGGATTACAAACTGCTTGGAATATTGGGTATAGGAAGGTGATCAGCGAAGGGGACTCCCAAGTAGCTTTGGATATGATCCGGATTAGGTGTGATTCAAACCATCCATATGCAGGCCTGGTGAAAAAGATCAACCAGTTGAGAGAACGAGATTGGCTGGTGTCCTTTGTTCATACATACAGAGAGGGCAATTGAGTGGCTGACTGGCTGGCGGGGTACTCTCATTCCTTGAATTGGGAGACGATTTTGCTGGATACTCCTCCCCAAAGTTGTTTTGGGTTGTTGGGGAATGACTTTAGGGGAGTGGCTTGGCCACATGTAATTAGACAGCATTAGTTTTGTTTTTAATTCCTTTGTTTCCAAAAAAAAAAAAAAAAAACCAGAAGGAGGGTGGTATTTCTGGTTTAGAGGGGAAAGGAAGAAAAGCTTATTGGTCTTATACCTGATTGGTCCTCTTTTGCACAGGTTTTGCAACATCAAAAATAATAAAAATGCCCTTTTTCATAATTTACACACATTATCTCATCAATATTTTACTTCAACCAAACATAGATTTTGTAAATTTAAATCAACTTTCTCAGTAATATTTAACCCTACCAAACAATTTTTTTTTCACTTTTCTACCAAACTTATTTTCTCACTATTTCCCTAGTAATTGTATTTCCCTGGTAAAAAAAATATCTTCTCTACCAAACGCCTCTAATGGAAAGAGAGCAATACTCCAATACGACGAGTCGTTTTATCTCTCTTCCTATACCATATGGTGAGATTAAGCATTTGTTTCTTTTATTAGGAGAGACTATACCTAAATTTATATCCTCTTAAAATTTATTTATTTTTATCGTTAAATTAAAATTAAATTAATATTATAAAATAATATTAAGTGAAAATATTTAAAATTATTTTTATCCAATGATAAAGAAAATATTTATAAGAGATTATAACATAAAATAAATTATAAATATAATATTTTATATATATATGGGTTCGAGAAAAAAACAACACCCTTTTTACTGATATATTGATTGTCGTAATTTCATTTTTTTTTAATTAATGGGACCCACAAGTTTTTATTAGTACAAGAATAGATTTAATTTTTCCACTAACATAACATGTATAATTTCATATATATGGGGTAAATATTTTTACAGTCACTTTAAATAAGGTTATCTACCACTACTCCAAAAATTACGTCGTTTTGATTAATGAAGGGTGTTTCTGTAATTTAAGGTGAATTAATGAAGGATGTTTCCGTAATTTTGTTTATTTTTTTTATTATATGCATTTTACTAAAACACATTTCATTAATTCACCTAAAATTACATAAACACCTTTCATTAATCAAAACGACATAGTTTTTGGATAGATGTAAATAACTTTATCTAAAGTGGCTGTAGAAATATTTTTTTCATATATATATATATGGGAAATATAAAAATTAAGTGACTAAACCGTCCAGTGCACTAAGTTCTCCCGCGAGAACATAGTGCACTAAATATTATAATGGTATTCTCCCGGGAGAACATAGTTATAATATTTACTATAATTATGTTCTCGCGAGAGAATTAAGTGCACTGGACCAAATTTTATATCCTACACTCACTAAACCCTATATATATATATATATATATATATATATATATATAGAAAAAGTATTTCTACAGCCACTTTAGATAAGCTTGTCTACAGCTACCCTTTTTTAACTAAGTATGACCGGTAGGGGTGTTAACGAGCCGAGCTTTGGTCTTAACGGGCCGAGCCTTGGTCTTAACGGGCCGAGCCTGTGTTCAAATGTGTCAGACTGACCTTAGCCTGTTATCTGTTACGAATATAATATCAGCCTGTGGCCTAGCTCATTTACAAAAAATAAAAGCCTTGTTTAGCCTGTTTAAAAAAAATAAGACAACAAAAATTTATCCAAACAAAATATACAATTAACAGCACTAGTAATTCCATAAATATTCATAAATTTAATGTATATCCAAATAACATAATATAAAACAAAATCATTTAAAACGTCTGTTTAATTAATAAAATGGGATGAAATGAATTGAGAAGAGAGAGAGAGAGGGCTATCACAAGTAGTATAAAAAATAAAAAAATAAAAAAATAAATAATATATTAGGCAAGCTTGAGAGGCTCTAAGGCCGAGCTTTTGAATTGGAGCCTGATGCCTTTTTATTAAACGAGCTTTTATACAAGTCCAAGCCTGGGTCCAACAATCAATTTTAGACATGTAAGCTCAGGCTTTCACGAGCCGAGCCAAAGGCCCTTGGCTCATTTAGCACCCTTAATGACCGGTCATACTTAGTTATTACAATAAAGCTGTTCTTTTTTTCTCTTTCCTCGCTAACGTGGCGGAGAGAGAAAAAGCAATTTTAATGTATGACTTGGTTATAACAATAAAGCTGTTATTTTTTTCTCTTTCCTCGCTGACGTGGCGGAGAAAAAAAAGCAATTTTAATGTATAGTTATAACCATAAAGTTGTTCTTTTTTCTTTTTCCTCGCTGACATGGCGGAAAGAGAAAATACAATTTTAATGTATGACCGGTCATACTAAGTTAAAAAAAGATAGCTGTAGATAAGTTTATCTAAAGTGGCTGTAGAAATATTTTCTCTATGAGATAGGATATTCTTACACCGGTGTAATAGTTAGAAGTATTACACTCAACCTTGACCATTGATCCACTTGTATCTAATGACTAACATTACCAAAAAAGTTGAGCCTTTAGATATAAGTAGAATCAATGGACAAGAATGAAAGTGTAATTTAAGTGTAAAATGATCTTGACTCTTCCCTTATACATATATATATATATATATATATATATATATATAATATTAGGGTGTGCACAACTTGTCATAACTGAAAATAGAATGGCTTCCATGAATATATTCACCGCCATTACACTCACCGCCGACGGCCGGAATCCGGCCATTTATTTTCCCCGGCGGAGACCCAACTCGGTCCATTTCGCCATAAGTTCGCCGGAATCTCCACCGGAAATAGAGCTCGAGTTCATAGGGGTATCGTTTTTTTTTTTACTACCTTAAGTTTTTCTGTTATCTAATTGTACTTGTACTTTATTCTAATGTATTATAGCATTACAAATAATAATTGAACTTGAAATGAAAATGTGAAATTTGTTGCATTGCAGCCCGAACCGGGAAGTGATGGGTCGTATCCGGTGGATAAAGCTAAAGCAATAAGCGGAGAAAAGTTGTTGAGGAACATCATGTTGGATAAGAAGATCGACCTTTATGCCACCTATGTATGTTTCATACCACATGCTTCCTATCAAACCACAACCACTAACATGTTTTACTTTTACACCACTTTGTCAGCGTGCTACCTCGTTTTTCTATTTTTATTTATTTATTATTTTTATTGTTATTCGTTGCAAATTAATTTTGTTTGTTTCAACTTTCAACAGGGTAAGCTCATGAACTGTGGGGGAGGTGGTAGCTGCGGAACTTGCATCGTTGAGGTAGGAAATATGTTGTTGCCAAATAAATTTCCAGTAATCAATATCTCTTATATTAAAATTTGGAAAAAGTTCGTGAATGCCGCTGTGGTTTGCTTCAGAATCATCTATGCCCATGTGATTTTTATCACATATGCCACTGTGGTTTGTGAAAGAGTATATTTTTTATCACACATACCCCTGAGGTTTTTTATTTTTTACAAAGCACAGTGGCATATGCGATAAAAAAAATCTCAGGGACATAGGTGATTTTGAAGCAAACCACAAGGGTATTAGTGAAGTTTTCCCTTAAAATTTCACATTAATAACCTCTAAGGGCAGCTCAATTGGCAACTGAGCTCCCAAGAGTTTGCTTGAGTCAAGGTTCAAACTCTGCTTCAAGCAGATTCTTGAAAAATCTTTGGAGGTCAGAGGACATGCCTCTCTCCTCGAATGGGGATTAGTCTCATCCTTCCTCCGGTAGCGAAGCTCAATGCACCCGTTGTTCCAATGAGGGACTAGCCTTCAGGGCCGTACCCGGAGGGCAAGGTGACCGGAGGAGGTTGAATGGGGATACCTCCATGTTAATTACTAAAAAAAAAAAAAATCACATTAATGTATTAAAATATGTTGCATTAAACAGTGTGTTAGCGATCTATAAAATAAAATACTTTCTGTAAATAAATTTGTGAGAATTTTTTTTGGAACAATACTATTTTAATTTAAAAATTCAATTTAATTCACTTATAATCATATATATTGTGCATAATGTTGCCTGATTTATTATTCGTTTGATTGAAAATGAACTTTTTCTACTCTATAAATGTTACTGTTCTAAAAACACTCGAGTATAGGTCTAGTTTTGATTGAAGCATCGATATGAATATGTTGTCTTGGTCAATTAGCATAACACATACGCAGGAATGGATTTCTCATATGAATTTCGCACATGACAGAATATATTTTAATTTTAGATTTTCACAAAGTATGTACTCATATTAGTCTCTAATTGCAAGTAAATGTTGATTCTTCTGTTGCAGGTTATTGAAGGAAAGGATCTTTTAAATGAAAGAACAAATACTGAACTACGATATCTTAAGAAGGCATGACTCTCTTTCTTACATACACATGAACACTTTCCGTAGAATTTTGCTAATATTTGAGAGATGATCATTCCTAAAAAATATTAACACACCCCCACTCTAACTATAGGAAGCAACGTTGCAATGTTTTAAAAATTGAACGCAGATTAAATCGGCTAAACTTTCGAGTCATGGTTTGATTAGTTTAACCGATTAAATTTGTAATTGAACCTGATAATGTTTGATTGAACTGTGATTAGTTTGATTAGTCTGCTAATCCATTTTTTTAGAACATTGATTGGAAGTAGAAATCTGATAATCTCTTTGAAAGTCTTTTGATATCATGGTTCTTGAATTGAATGCACTTCCAACTTATCCACTTATCCGATGGAACAATGAAATGTAGGTGATTTACCCCCCCTTTATTTTGTAATACTTTCTTCTCAAAGAGTTCCTGCTATTATTTTAGGGTGATATGATGATAAATTTTGAAATTAAATATTCTTTTGAACTTTGGCTTTTCTAAACAGAAACCCGAATCTTGGAGGCTGGCTTGTCAAACTATTGTTGGAAACAAAGAAAACTGTGGCAAGGTATCTTTCAAAATAATGGTTCTTTCTACCCAGCTATTTTTTATTTTATTTTACTTTACTATATTAAGTGTTCTATGTGGTGTGAGAAGTGTTGGAGTATTCAAGTGTGATTAGTCCTATATTAGTTGGTAATGGACTAAGTGAAGTCTATATAAGTGGAAGAACTCATGAACCCAATGCCTTAAGGTTTTGGGTTAAGATGTGATGTCGGACCCACTTAATATTGTGGTATAGCTTAGCCCATTGGTGGTGATCCCCCGTCACGGAGAGCATATAGTATGATCATGATCTACTCTCAATTGATTATTTTTCAATTCTTTGATTTTATAATAATAATTTATTTTGATTGAATTAATGCCATATATATTTGATAAAGTTTAACAATAGGCTATCAAGTTGATTGCAATTGATTACCAGTAACAGTAGCATATATTACCTATATAAAGTCTACAAAAAGACCTTAATGACGAAGACAATTATAGCAAGGAGAAAGTGAAAATGCATATGCTTGTCTGTTTCACCTTAGAGCAAACGAAATGTAGTGACTAAGAATCTTTTTTCTATTTGTATAGCTGTAAAAAAGAATGAGCTATAAAAGTATTGAAAGCTCAAGTAATGATTAATTTCAAAATTAAGATTGGTTTTCTTTAAGTACAGTAGTTGTAGTGCATTTATATATTTGTTATAATGGGTTTTTAGGTGGTTGTTCAAAGGATTCCTCAGTGGAAGAAGCAATAGACCAAGCCAAGCAATAGACCTATTGATGCTTAGAAAGAAAAGCTCCATTATGTAACTCCTGGGTTTAACACAGTTGGAAGCATCATTGCAAATCACGTCATAAATTTATGGAGACTCTAGTTCTTAAAGTAAGCTTACAGATATCTATAATGTATAATTTCCCTTCAATGTTATGCAATGCTTGCCAATAAGTTATTTATTCTTTAGGGTACAAATCTTTGTGTAATGGTATGATATCATGTGTACGCGCTATGCAAACCAAGAGCCAAAATGCAAAGTATGTGAGCAAAGCATTCAGAAAAAAGAACATGGAAAACCAAAATGTTCTATATACCAAAAATATTTGTAATATTCTGTTCACTTTGATTCTGTTATCAAATTGACATCTTTCAACCAATTCTGTTATCACTAAGTGTGATAATGCGGGACGCATACCACTGGTGCCGCTGCCTTTGATTTTCTTAAAGTTATAAATTATAAATTCAATTCATTGTACCTCATATCAATGGAAGAGGAATGGGAGCGTTTGAAAGCTTAAGCATTTACTAAAATTTAAACCATTCTTAAATAAATACATTTTAATTTAAAAAAGAGTTATATTTACAATCTCTTTTCATTTATAATCTTTTACAATTAAATTTTAACAGTTGATTTATTATAATTTATTGAGTCATGTTTATTAATGAATTATTAATTTTTAATAAATTATAATTATTAAATTGACAAAAATTAATAATTAAGATTTATTTATAAAAGGTTGTAAGCGAAACGGGATTGTAAATATAACTTTCTTAATTTAATTTAATAAACAAGAAAAAATTATTAAAAAGAAAAAAGTAAGTGAAATAATTAAGAGACATACTTAACGTACAAGTTACTACTACAAAGAATTTTTTATTTATTTTTTTAAACGGAAGTTCTAGACCTCTAATTCAAGCTCCAAAACTTGTTTGGAAAATTCAAATTTACTGAATTGTGACTCCACTGCTTGAGACTTGAAAGATACGTTTCTAACATTGGTTTTACTTAACAAAAAGAGGGGGCAGAAAGGGGTTGCTTTGAAATTCTTGGCCCTTTTTTCGGTGGGGATAGAATTTCGGACCCTTTTCCTTGTCAGAACATACAGGGAAATTTCACAGGAGCCGCCTCACATTTGTCAAGCTAGAAATGGTGGTATTGGAATAATTAAGCCAACTATGATGTAATTACATCAAACAGTTTTATATTTACAAAAAAATTTGTTTACAAACTTTTATAAACAATAATATGTATTGCGAATAATACATGTTACATAGAATAATTTGTAAACCAAAAATTTGTAAATGTAACTTAACAAAATTATATAAATTAAGGAAAAAATATTTATCATTTTAAATGACACAACTTATATCCTTTCACTCTCACAAAGAGGTGGGACCCACACATTTATTTTTTTGTCAACTCTCTCTCCTCTTTTATCTATCTATTTCTCTCTCTTAAAATAACACAACTTTACATATTTTAAAATGATACACACTTTTTCCATAAATTAAACCTACAAAAAGGTGTGAGTCATCCAATATTATTGCGCTCACATGGCCCTTTGGCCCTTTGGGTCAGGCGGGCCTACAAGGGCCTACGGTCTTGCCTATATCAGGCCAGACTCAGCCTAGACAAATAGAACATGTTCGGGCTTTTAAGAAAGCCTGTTTAGAAAGCATGTTATAGGCTTCTTTTTACATGTCGGGCCTATAAGCCTATAGGCTGACCTACATCATATTATTTATTTTAAATAAAATAAAATAAAATTATTCGTAGTAGTACCAAATGGTGATAGCTCAATTGGTGCATGTGAGCTGGGTAGGTGGTGGAAGGACCTAGGTTCAATCTCCATCAATACCACCTTTGGTAGGGGCATAAGATCTATATCATTCTTTGCAGTAGCGTCAGAATCAACATTTAGTGTTGGAGGAAGAGTTATTGATGCTTATCGTTCTAGCTTGGCTGAATATACCATCCAAGCTTTAATATGTGGTGGAGATTGGCTACGTAATAAGTATAGCTTGAAGAAAAAACAAAAGGCACAAATTTAATATGTGGTGGAGATTGGCTACGTAATTACAGGTCAACGGGGCAAGCCAGGTTATTTGTTGTTTTTATAAATTGGTCAAGCTAGGCTAACAGTTAGACTCGTACTATGCTATCAGTTAGGCCAAATTAAAAAAAAAATTGGCATAAACTTGAACTTTTCAGGACAAAACTCGGTCCAATCCACTTTCACCCCCTAGTTAAGACCTTATAAAATGCATAGAGGACATATGGGGAGCAGGGAACTGAAGGGTACTCTTGTGTGGCGAGTCTATATTTTAAGGTCAATGTGTTTGTACTATCTTTGTTCCAACTATTTAAAGTAAGTTATTGTTGTTGTTGCGGTAGTTGAATCCACCTATTTCCAATGCCCTTGTGTTCGTCAAAAAAATTAAATTGTTGTTGTTTTAATAAATAATTATGAATATATAGCTGTTTCAAAACTATTTATGAATATATTGCAGTAATTTACGCCCAATTTGGGATGACTATTCATGCATAAGTTAGGCGTGACCTACGAGGCATTCACGCCTAAGTTAGACGTGACTTATCTGGTGTTAACTCATGGCACAAAAAAGTCATTAGTGGCCATAATTTGTGACTCAGGTGTTCAAATCAAATAATTTTTTTTTATTCCATATATGGTGAAAAATCATTTTTTTGCCACAGACACAAAACAGGAGTGGGTTCCATGTTAATATCTCTTTCTTCTTTATGGTTTCTCTCTCTCAATTGTTTGTGTCTGTGGCAGAAAAATAATTTCTACAACAAATGCAAAAATAATGTGTATATATATATATATATATATATATATATATATATATATATATATATGAGAATCATTTTCTGCAACAAATGCAAAAATAATATATATATATATACAGAATCATTTTCTCCTGTTATTGGAGAAAATGACCCCTTCTAACAGATACAATCATAAATCGGCCCCACGTTAGATTTTTTTCTCTCACCTATTATTTTTCTCTCATCTATTATCTTATGTTAGTCGCATGAGAGTAATTTTCTCATATAAAAGGAGAAAACTAAACCCCATATATATATATATATATATAGGCAAAAATATTTCTACAGCAATTTTAGATAAGCTTATCTGCAGCTGCCATTTTAACTATATTCTCCCGGGAGAATATAGTTATAACGTTAAAGTTGCTCTTTTCTCTCTCTCCTCATTTACTTCTCAGAACTTTTTTGCTGACGTGGAGAGAGAGAAAAGAGCAACTTTAACGTTATAACTATATTCTCCGAGAGAATATAGTTAAAAATGACAGCTGTAGATAAGCTTATCTAAAGTTGCTGTAAAAATGTTTACTCCATATATATATATATATATATGGGGCAGGATATTCTTACACTGGTGTAAGAGTTAGAAGTCTTACACTCAATCTTGACCATTGATCCACTTGTATCCAATGGCTCACATTACTAAAAAATTTGAGCCCTTAGATATAAATAGGATCAGTGGACAAGATTAAGAGTGTAACTTACACTGGTGTAAAATGATCTTAACCCTATATATATATATATATATATATATATATATGGATTTTTCTTACAATAATATACAAGAATTTTTGTCAACAAACGTTACAACTCAAGAGTATGTAAGAAGATTTTGTTATATTATTTTCATGTTTGGATAATTCAGTTACATAAATATATTAATTTTTTCTTATTTTGTTGTCTTTGTGTTTGGATATTAAGAGTTTAAACTGCGTCAGTGTCTCCCCTCTCTCACTCTCTCTTTCATAGTCACACACTCACACGGTTCTGTGTTCCATTTTGTAAATCCAAAGTAAAACTTTTCATTACTATAGAAACTTAATTTATCTGGATCTGCACATAGCATTTTAGCTTTATTTTATGTTATGTTATCATCTCTTACGGTGATTATGTGATCTTTTGGAAACAGTTATGAGCAAGATTTTCATTTGGAAGCATTGATTTTGAGGCTGTTCTTGTTGAAGTCAATGCATGCAAAATGAATAAGGAAAATGCTATGGTTGGTGGTTGTGCTGTTAGGGTCACTCGAGCAAGGCCTAGAGCCTTGGGGATGTATCTGCCTCCTCAATACCCTCGATACTATGCTCCAAAAGAGCAGCTTCTGATGACATTGAATCTTCTGTTGTGTCTCCTACCTTTGCTGATAAGAGCTTGGATGTGTTAACAAATGTTACAAACATATGCAGAAAATCACATTATAAGTGTTTTAAGGTATCAAATTTCAGGTATTCACTGTGACCTACTGTCCTTTTATTTTTCTCACTAATTCATTAATAAAATCTAAATAACTTAAAAGGAGTAAAATAAAAAACTTAGTACCTGAAATTATTCTCCATTCACAGTTTAATTTCAGAGTTTTTATTTACGTGTATAAGTTAGTCCTTCTTGTATCTCACTTTAGTCCTTAAAAAGATTTAATTGAATATAGATTTTTTAAATTTAAGGAGTGATTCATACACATAAATAAATTCAGGGACTAAACTGCATGTGAAGGATAATTTCTGGAATTAAGTTGCCTGTTCAATCTAATTTGAAGTGTCAAAATAATAAAATAAATATTTATAAGAAATTGTAACATAAAATATGTTGTAAGTATTAGAGGTCTCAAAATGAGCTTAAATTCGCGGACTAGTCCGCAAAGTCCTATATTTGGCCCTAACTTATTAGTGTCTTTTTGTGGTAGGGCATTTTTTAGCCCTAACCCTCAAAGCCTTATAATCTTGCGGGCTGAGTGAGGGTTGGCCCACGGATTAAATTTTTTTCTTCATTAAAATTTTTATTATTTAAAAAACTAAAAATCATATAAATTTAAATATTTATAAATATAAAATAAATTATAAAAATAATATAAGTGAAAACTATTGTGAATTTGATGGAAAATATAAGAGGAAGTGCAATATGAAAGAAAGGAAAATGAAATATAGAAAGAAAATCAAAGGAAAAATAAGATAAGAATAAGTATGAATTCTTAAAGGTAAGGAAATATTATTATATTCTGAATTCACCAAGTACCATTTTTTTCATCTAAGATGTATCCTTATATAGGACTCTAAACACAATTAGGGGAATAATTACAATTCAACACACTATTAGTGTGATTGTAGAATGCATAAAAGGTCATGAAAAATAAAGAGTCACATATTATGAACCATGTAAAAGGTCAT